TAGTCCATTCAATTGAAAAATTTCTATATTAGTTAAATCAAACAAAAAAATATCTAAACATACATATCCCTGTAACAAACTATAAATATATAAATATATATTATATATCCGAAAGTATCATTAAAATATCTACAATTAATTTATCTATCTTAAGTATCATCCAAAACTAAATTTTCAAGGATAGTCTTTTCATTTGTTGAATTTTCTACAATAGTTAAATCAATAAAAGCAAAATCTTGAACTATAATCCCTAAACAAACTCTAAATATATAAATATTTTTGACTGCAAACTGAATCGTAAAATATCGATCTATTGGCTTCAGGAATTTTCTCAGTTAGTTTCCATATCTTGACACACTTTCCACTCACCGCTTGACCACAAACGCGTTCTCATTAAGTACTGCATATTTGGTAGATCCATTTTGCAGGGTCTTCGAGCTCTTACGCAAGGCGACCAACGATTTGTAGATCTTGAGATGGGAGCGCGTGGCTGCTGTTTCGACCTCAACGTTTTGGGTCTCGTAGTCCTCGGCAAGGGGCAGCCATGTCTTGGGGCCCGTGGAGAAGCCGGCATTGGTGCCGCTCGTCCACTGGAAAGGAGTACGCGAGGGATCACGAGTGAACTGTTCGTAGCTGTCTTTGTCGGAGTTGCATGCAGCCGGATCTTGGGTGTCATCCCAGCTAATCCAGCCGTCTGTCATGCCCAGCTCCTCGCCCTGGTAGGTGACACTCGCACCGGGCAGAATCATGACCAGCATGTTCATGGCGTCCGTGTTGGCGGCGCCATAGCGACTGGCCGCGCGGCGCTGGTCGTGATTGCCAATCACCCAGTTGGGTGTGCGTCCGGCGGGCATTGACAACAGCCAATTATCCACGGCCTTCTTGATGGAGCTCGCCGAGACGCCGTCACTCGCCGGCACCGTAATCAGATTGAAGTTGAAGGGCAGATGGGCACCCTCCACGGACCGATTGCCATAGAACTGCATCGTGTAGGCGGGCGGAGCGTAGGTCTCAATCAGAAGCACCCGCGTGTCTCCGCCGTAAATGCGTTGGTGATCGTCCATCACCGTGCGCCACTGATAGGCCATGTCGATTGTCTCGGGTCTGTTCTCGATTAGCTCGTTCTTCAGATAGTTGCGATTATCCTTGTCATCCGTCAGCCCACTCACTGCCTCGTCCGGATACTGGCCATTCTCGTCGACCTCCACCTCGAAGAGCACTGGCACCGCGTCGCACCTGAAGCCAGCGACGCCCTCGTTCAGCCAGTAGCGCAGCACGCGCTTCATCTGCTCCACCACATCCGGATTGCGATAGTTGAGGTCCGCCTGCTGCACGGCAAACTGATGCAGGTAGTACTGCTGGCGCTCCTCCACCCACTCCCAGGCGCTGCCTCTGAATGCCTGCAGCCAATTGGAGGGAGGCTCCCGCTTGCCAGTGTCCGCATTTATTTTCCCATCGTGCCACACGTAGTAGTCCTCGTAGCCCTTCTCCCGCTTCACGGACTTCTTGAACCACTCGTTCTCATCGCTGGAGTGATTGGGCACAAAGTCCAGGATGATTTTCAGATCTAATTCTTTGGCTTTCTTGATGAGCGCACGAAAGTCTTCCATTGTGCCGTACTCTGGCTGTATGTCGAAGAAGTCGGAGATGTCGTAGCCAAAGTCCACCATGGGAGACTTGAAAATGGGCGACAGCCAGGCAGCTGTCACGCCCAGATCCTTGAGGTACTCCAGCTTGCTCGTGATGCCATTCAGATCACCGATGCCGTCGCCATCCGAGTCCATGAAGGAGCGCGGATAGATCTGATAGAACTGCGCCGTTTCCCACCAATCCTTGGTGCGCTCCGTCGCTGTCTTATCCTTGCACGCCTCCCCTCCAAGGTCGACGAGGACGAGGAGACTCAGCGCAGCAGCAATCCGGATGTGGTGGAGCAGATGAAGCGCGTGCTGCGCTACTGGCTGAACGAGGGCGTCGCTGGCTTCCGGTGCGATGCGCTGCCGCCGCTCTTCGAGGTGCTGCCGGATGCGGAGGGTCAGTTTCCCGACGAGCAGTTGACTGGGGCTACGCAGGATGCGGAAGATCGTGACTACCTGACGACGGCGTACATTGAGAACCAGCCGGAGACCATCGACATGGTGTACCAGTGGCGCCAGGTGCTCGATGACTATCAGCGCATCCATGGCGGCAGCTCGAGTGTGCTGCTCATTGAGACCTACTCGCCGGCCTGGTTCACCATGCAGTTCTATGGCAATCGATCCGTGGAGGGTGCCCATCTGCCCTTCAACTTCAACCTGATAACCGTGATGGAGCAGAGCCCCTTGAGTGGGGCCAATGTGCAGAAGGCCATTGACCTCTGGCTGAACAACATGCCAGCCGGGCGCACAGCCAACTGGGTGGTAGGTAGCTTCAGCTATACTGAAATCCCAGCCAATTACTGATACTCCCCTTTAGCTGGGCAATCACGACAAGCGCCGGGCGGCCAGTCGCTATGGCGAGCAGCACATCGATGCCATGAATATGCTGATCATGATGCTGCCCGGCGTTAGTGTCACGTACCAGGGCGAGGAGCTGGGCATGACAGACGGCCAGATTAGCTGGGAGGACACCGTGGATCCCTGGGCCTGCAACTCGAATCCCGATATATATGAGAAATACACCAGAGATCCCGCACGCACGCCATTCCACTGGACGAGTGGCAGCAACGCTGGCTTCTCCACGGCCGCCCAGACCTGGCTGCCCCTGGCTGCCGACTACGCGACCATCAATGTGGCCACCGAGTCCGCGGCGCAACGTTCCCATTTGCATATCTATAAGGCGTTGATCAAACTGCGCAAATCACTGAAAACTCTTCAAAATGGTGCGACTAAATATCAGGCGCTTACTGAGGATGCTTTCGTGCTGAAGAGGTGGGCGCCCTTAGATCTCTCCTTTATGGTTGGGCTCGGGAGGAGATGTTAATTATACTATTTTTTTCTTCTCTTATTTAGATCCCTCGCTGGCTCTGCTAGCATCGTGTATGTCTCCAACTTTGGTTCGACGGAAGTCACGCTCAATTTGCAGGAGTTTGACCAGACTTTGCCAGCCAGCCTGGAGCTGCTTATAAGCAGCTTGGCGTCTCCCAAGCTCGAGGGGTAAGCCTAGGCCTATATAACATACTTACTCACAGCTAATATCTACTCACCCTCTCTCTCTCTCTCTCTCTCTCTCTCTCTCTCTCTCTCTCTCTCACACAGCGCCAGCCTTGCCACACACGAGCTCAACCTGTTGCCCGGCGAGGCTCTGGTCATGAGTACAAAATAAATGAGTCGCAATTACTAGAATTAGTTAGTATTTTTTATTGATCGAATTTTTGTTGTTCAATGCCTTTGTAAGTTCTCGTAAATATACATATATGCCACCCAACAACATTTATCTGTGTATACTATATATGTATATACGTTAATAAATACTTGAATTTGCCGAGACATTCAGTTAAGTAGATATAAATATGGCTTATATTTTCATATGCGTTTCGTTTTGTTATTATTTGTTGGTATTTAATTGGTAACTTATTTACATTTAATACACACAGAATAGTTAATACACATGCAATTTGCTAACAATTAAACTCTTTGAATTTGGCTAGACTTGTTTTTATAGTTATACATATACATATATATA